TCATAAGACATGGCACAACTTACCGTATTTCTCTTATCCGAGTTTATGATTCTCTTCAGCTCTAACAGTGCCTTCCGAAAGGCCAAACTAACATTCATGAGACAGGCGAAAAATCGCCATTCCTCCACCTCATTCCTCCGCCATTTTGAATTACACGTCATTGACTATGCGCTCTGTGATTGTCGGCTGACGCATCGCGGGCGCAGAATGGACCGCATTGCGTGTTCAGGTGTTTGTAGAAAGTCACGCATTTGACATATCGTGAATATGCTCTAAGAAACCTGTCATTAGGGTGAAGGACACGCAATGTTCTGCACGAACATGAAAAGATAATAATGGTACTGCAATTGAAATAGCTTGTACGGGAACAAAGCATTTCTTCCGATGATCACAACGTTTTTCTGTTGGCACGCGAACTGAGACCAAGCGAACAGAAAACGCTTTTTCCTCTGTTCATGATAATTTGGTTATCAATATGTGGCTTTAAAGCAGACAGACAGGTCGGTAAGTTGCTTTTCTAGCTTGTTGTTTTACGCATTTTAATCTGAGGCGGCCCACATTAAAACGCTATTTATAAATTCCGCCGTTTTCTTTTTAAGATATTTAAAGTTTCACTATCTTTTCAAAGAATCAAAAACTGAATAAAACTTCATCAGATGAACCAAAGAGCACCCAAGTTGAGCGCACTTAAACGAAACAGAGAACTTAAATTTTATTGCTGTCAAAAACTTGGCAAGAGATTCAAGCAGTTTACCTGTAGCGTTTACCGGCAGTAAATTTTGGAAATCTATTTCTTTCTTTCTTTAGTTTTCTTTAGTTTTTTGTTTCAAGTTCCAGTAGTGTTATCGACTTCGAAATTTAATTGCCATTCAGCAGAAGACATTAATATATGACCCGAATGACCCTCGCTGAACAGTCAACCCAACGCGCACAGAAAGTGCTAGTAGCTAGCGGAAAGTTAGCTGTTTGTTCAGGTGGGTAGATCATTTACGCGAGACAAATAATTAAGGCAAGTTCAAAACCCTTCTTGTTCAGTTAAAAGTTCCATTTGCAATAGTTTCCTTCTAGCGAAGTGATACAAATATGATGAAGCTCTTGGCAAATTATCCTGTATCTCACGTGGAAACACCATAAATCTATCGATATCAAGTAAATATTTTACAAAATACCGGTTTCTTTGAAGTGCGATCTGGAGGGAGTTTCATTGGTTTTTTCGTGACCTCTTCCTGTGCTATGATTGGTCGAAACCGCTTGAATATCTGCCCCCTCTCAGCAAGCCACGACGATAGCATTTCGTTTTGGTAAAGTCACGAAACAAGAAAATCAAATTTTTGAAGTCAAAAATTCGACACAGTCGGAAATTCATTTCACAAAGGCACTGTAGTTCACGATTCAGGTTGCATGAACGAGCGTAAAGAAATTTTCCCCTCGTATTCCTGTTGTTCGTGACACAAAATTCAAACGACACTGGGTTATTAATACACATAAATTCGTAGTGTGATTGGTTCGATTGGCATCTCTTTAACATAACTCTCGCTTCTGGGAAGATTAGGTTTTATTTAGCTCACACCACGCTTGATCTGTTCTTGAAGAAAACACCTTGGGCTGGCGACAAAGTGATACCTTTCTGCGGGGCATCGTCGCGGCATTTCCAAAAGGTACCTGAAACAAAATGCAAACGCACTCTACGACCTCTTCGTGAGAGATTTTAGTCTTGTAAAAGAGGTAGCATTGAAGCTTCGTTGTAACGAAAGTTTACTCATGCGATAATGAAGCCAAAGAACGACACGAAGCAGAACTTTGGACATTTAATGTTGCCTATCTTTGACAGTCGTGGAATATTCCTTGTCTTCAACGTTTGGACTCACTGGCCTTGAAGTTCATCCATTTTTCATCGGTAGCTTTCGTGTGGATCGGCGTCCAAAGATTTCCGGTAGGATTCAAACGTTCTTTACAGCGCGTTTATTCTAATTTCAAGGTGTTAGACGCAATTTATCTAACAATTTTACCATGTAGTGTTATTTCCCCACAAGGTTGTGTTAGTGCTATATGCCCCTTTAGCTTTGTAGCCGTAGTTTGGCCTATTCTCTCGCTCCAGAGCAAACTATGATATCAATTTCAACATGTCACGAGTTGTAAATCGGGTGCCCTGTCATTATAATCATTCACAATTCTTCCTTTGAAAGCTTATTTGGTTCCAGGTGTCGATAGGTTTTTTTATTGCATCTTTTTTTACTTGTAAGTTTGACTATTTCTGACGGACGAAGACGTATGGAAACGTATGCTAAAGTGGATTTTGGGTGCACCCACCCAAATTTGTGTGCTTAGATGCTCGACAAAATAAACCGATTATAGGCTATTTTTCATTTTCAAACCTCCAGGATGCCTCTTCATGGAAAATTCAGTGTTAGGGATGACTTTTCTCGATTACTGTTCAGTGTTAATGGATCGCTACAGAAATTGTTACAAGGATGCTGCCGTTTGTGTTGTCTCGCGCGTTTATCACTGTATTTCGTAACGTTGCACGAGGTGATTTTTATTAACTTCACAAATTTCCGCTCAGTAATGAAAGCTGGAATGCTTCATTTTCAATAAACGTAAGAACAAGTCTCTTGAAGCAGTGGCTCGTGGAGCATATAAGCGCCAAGGCAGTTTTTGCCAAAATCCAATATGGCGCCCCTGTTAATTATGGGCCACGAGGCCAACTATCAATCAACGCAATGGTTGTGGTAAAAAGACATTGTCCTCGAGGTTAAGGATGGTTTTCTATCGTTTGCTTTCCCAGCACAATCAAGGCAGTTCTTATGTTTCATCTAAATGGTTTTATGGTACACGAAGACGATATCTTTTAGACAGAATCGATATAGGGTATGATAATGGTAAAATACTGCTTTTTAGTTTTCACTGGATTTATTTTAAAGCGGATTTTCGGACTGTAATCTTTTATTTTTGGGTACTGTTCTGTTAATTTAGAGTACAGTTTGCCTTTTTCGTTCTTTTTTGCTTTTATTTACCGTTAAACATTACGTGTCGGTCTGGTCGCCGGCTCTGGGAACAGAGACTAACCATGTGGAAATGGTCAGTTATCGGATGATAGATTATGTCAGTAGTGCCATTTCCTCCGCTCAAAATATTAAACGATAAGCGAACCAAACAATACAAATGTTTCGTTTACGTTTATCGGTTCCAGTCTGATCAGTTTGCATTGCACATCTGTGGAGGTGGCATTTTCTAGTGTTGCTGTAGAGATCTAAAAATTCGAGTTTCAAGTGTTCAAGTGGTTGATTCCGGCTTTCAATAACACCCAGCACTGCTGGGCTTAATTTATGCCCCAGAGCAACGAAAACATTCCAAGCAAAGAGATATCTTTTAAGTTAGGAACACAGTCAACCGACGTGCTTCATGTTAATATGTCAATAACGTTGTTTCTATATATTGCATGATTTCAAGACATTTGGAACAAAGATTCACCGTTGTTTCACCTGGCCAAGCCAGATACTGGCACGAAAGGTATCTTTAGTTTTAAGCCAATTGAAATATTTCAGTGTAACTTCGAGATGTTTGGCGTTTTTGTATTATGCCGAAGAATTGAATATTAAATTGCTGGGGTGAAATATGCAAAGAGTGGGATTACAGCTTGACTAATCCCAACTCGGATATCAGTTTTGAAATGCAGTGTCACGATTTTTGAGGGTCTTGAGGTGTGTCTGACTCGGAGTCCTACGAAGTGAAAGCATGTTGAGGGTGTTAAATCCTTGCTCAATCATTGCATTTGCAAGACTTTGCCTCTCTCGTAAAAGTGTTACTAGAAATAAAACTATAAACTAATGATTGAAAAACGGTTGCAATTGCCAATTTTCCTTCAAAAACTCCATAAACACGTGATTTGAAAACTGCGAATGTAAAACAGTGTATTTTAGTGCTTGTTCTGAAACGTATCAGTATTCTCCAAGGTTTCTTTGGTCTGTTTTAACAAAAAGGCAATTTTCTATAAATGATGTCTTACTTATTACCTTCAGCGCAGAATGATCCATTTATATTCTAAAATCCATACCTGGTGAGCCCCGCTTCTCACTAGGCTTACCTTAAAACGTTTGTTTACTCTATAGAAGATGCAAATATCATAAAATAGGCCTTGTGGATATATCACTTCTGATTGTTTCAGGTAAAAATAATTTTAATGCTATTTCAGTTATGTATTTTATCTGTAAGGCTTAACCTGTAATATTCTTGATGCATCAAAGGAAACTGCCATATTTTAATGAAAGTTGTAAGTGGCTTTAAAGATTTTGTATATTGTCAGTCTGTGAGGTGACAAGTCAGGCGGCTTGAAATGCAATTTATGGAAATTTTGGAAGCAAGTTCTGCTTGATTTTCCTTGGTTAATACACTCGTTCTTACACAGAATGAAAAGAAAAGAAAAACAAAAGCGCCATTCAGTTTCAGAAACGCTTTGTTTTGTAACAGTGAGTTGCTTCCTCCAGAAATTCAATTGCACCACATGCAAAGCTTCGACACTCCTCTCCCGGTTTTGTTTTATCTACAATTGTAAATCTTCCGGTCTCCTTCAGATATCACATTATAATTTTGAAACATGTGCCTGGAATGCTTTCAATTGTAACGTGATGAGTTGAACGGGTCTAACTTTAATCCTTTTGCCTTCCATTATCGGGACATTGATTACATAATAAGCATCTTTATTATAGTAACCCCAATTTGTATATTTTGAGCTATTTTAATTGCTATTAAAGGACACAAAAGGAAAGCAGCAATTGGCTATTTTCAATGCAGCCGGTTTTAAAAAGGTAAATGATTTCTTCAGATATGTTATGATTTTAGACAACAGAATAGGCTTAAAATAACAGATTTTTATTGTTGTGTCTACACGAAGATGGTTGAACCTCTAGACAGCCAGAAAAACAGGAAACCTATAGAAATATCTAATTGGCAACTTGCTTAAAATAGAATCTTTGGCAATGCTCGATATAATTAGTGGTTTGGATTGTCCAAAGCTCCGGCTCTGTAAAGGCGTTTATGCAGTACGGTAGGATATTTAAGATAATGACCGGGACGATTTTAAGCATGGGTGGATCCTACATTTGCATGTAATATCACGCTATGTTATCTTTGGAGTTGGAGAGACCAGGTTTTGCATTCTTTAACATCACTTCCTTGGTTTGGGATGGGGCTTAGTCCCTTATTTCCACCTCGTTTTCATCAGTAACATTTCGATTTTCCATCTTTTCAATCAACATTCGCGTAGTGCTCAAAGAGAACTAAAGAGCCTCTTCTATTACTGCAATAAAAGCGTGACAGCTGATGCAAATCACATTGCTTCGGGCGATCTATTAATAGTGGTGGGTACCTAGACAGGCCGGAGCCAAAATGCATGTTGTCCGCCTCTTGTGTATCAATTCGAATTCGATGAACCTGTTTTCACTGCGTTCAGAAGTTCGAAAATAGATTTGCCTGGTGAACGTCACAATAAGAAACCGGGAGTAGGTTTAGCTTGCATAGTTTAACGGAGGTGATTCATTCTGCAAGCATCATTCTCCCACGAGAAATCAACATTTGAATTCTTCTATTAAGGTTAAGGTATAGTCAAGTAGGCAGGTAATGAGAAAATAGCCGCTCGTCAGCTAAGGGATAGCGGTTTTGCACCACAGACAAAATCTCAGTACCAACTTATTTCAAATGCATAGCAGCCAGTTATGAGAATCAATATTTCGAGCTGTTGTTGCTCTTTTGTGCGCTGTTCAGATTCTGCTAGCTCTGTCCTTGATACTTGTGTGGTGTAAGGCAACTGGCCCCGAGTAGACTCTGTAAAGTATACCTTACTCGACTATGGAAAAGACCGTATAGAACAGAAAGTGTTACTTTACTGAGTTATAGTCTTTTTTAAGTTTAGTCGATGTTATGCTCCTGTCTCTTAACTTGACCATGGTGCACTGTAAGCCGAAAGAACGTTTAGATATCTTGCATGGGTCATTGATCTGATGAAAGTTTTGGCGTGCAAAGAAAAGGGCCTCTGGGGTTCCTTTATAAAGTGGTACTGTTTATTATCCTATAGAAGGTGCTTTGAACATTTGAGTGTGTGGATGAAACTCTAAAGTGCAACCATGCAAATAAAAGGTACTGAGTAGTAACGGTGCCCTTTACTATGCTGCACAAACTTGTTCTAATTTTCATGTCTGTTGTTGAAACCCTAGTGTGTAATTACTCAACAGTGCTCTGAGTGTTAATTGAGCCCTTTCACAGGCGGTGCTATCGAGGAGTATTACATGTGTTGCTCTTTATTGTGCTGTACACAGCGTTGCTCTAACATGCAATCCTGTAGCTGAAACCCTAGAGTACTAGTGTGTCCATGCACATAAGGCACGAAAATGTCGAGCAGAATAAAACGCCATCAAATCACTCGTATTTCAATCGGGATATCTTTTACTAAACTTTTCTGTTTTTATTTTCCCCACTGCATTCCTAAGTATGGAAAACATTCCTCATACAGTAAGAGTCGATGGGGATTTGAAATTCTATTGTACCTGACTTTGTACGTGACTGATTGTTAAAGTAAAAATCGCTCAAATGACTTGCGAAAGTGCCAGCAAGACATGATTTTTTTTCAGCTTTTAGATAAGGAAGTAATGAGAGTTTGTTAACGAATTTTAAAAGAAATCTGTATAAACTTTTCTAGTTTGGTGTTTTTATTGTCCCTACTAAGATATTTTGGTTGTTGAAGCAAATTAAGACTTCGATTGTAACTTGGTAAATTTTAGTAACAAGCAGAATTTGACGTCCAAAAATTTCATTACTGTATCTTGATTACTTACTAGATCAGTTACCTAAAGCGGATAAGAAATATTAAAATAGAACCTGTACAGATTCCTGTTAAAATTCCAATGTGATAAAGCATTTCATCACTCTCAACAACACGGCTTTAAAAAGCGCGTAAGATAGAAAAAGAACAGCAAGTAAGATTTCAGCTGCATGAGGAAATATGAAGGCATTTCAGTTTACATGGAAATTTCAAATCCATACCATCTCTTATAGCATGCGTTGAATACCTGTGATAAAGAGCTGCCTATAACAGCTTTTTATATAAAATACCATTATTTCGAACTTTTATTTTCGTTGTCAGTTAACAAGAGCAGGTTCTATCCTCAGGTATATAAAATAGCGGCATTTTGCCATGGCATTCTGCCCTTTTTCTAGCCGTATACAGTATCACAAGAAACTTTCTCACTGCATAATCCTAAAAATGAAAATGAAAATATTGACTCCTAGAGCTTGAAAGAATTTAAATCCTTTTCGACCTTCTGTTCTTGCTGGTCCAAAAGCCTTCAAGAGCAAACCGTGCGAGCAAAATCTGGTCGATGTTTGCTGGATCTCTTGGGAAGCCGCATAGTCAGACTTTTGTCAGGGTTCTTTCTGGCACACAGCAGATTACGATACACCAATTTGTTATCAGAAAATGCGTACCAGCACGTAACAAAAAGGAACTAGACAAGTTAAATCAAAAGATTTAAGGCTCAGACGGATTATGCGTTAACTTTATCTTATAAATTTGACGTTGTTTCTTCGAACCTGATTACTCCGTACCGATAAGTCGACTTTCTGAAAGGTGTTTAGTTACTCAACACACTCTACGGAGATGTAATCGTTGCGACTGCCCTCTACACACAAGGAAAGGCATGGAGCCAAAGTAAGAAGCAAACATTATGTTCTGTGAAGGACACGTTTTCTGGTGGTTGTTGTCTCAAAGCAAAACTGAGACCTGAAAATTAATTTACGCTAAGATACATGGTACGTCAGATGGTAAGGGAATGTCAGTACGGTAATGACAGAAGAAGGTTCGACAAGCTGACTAGCCTTTACAACCGGTTGAGAAAAGTTTAATTACCCGCGAACTCCCTCATCAACGGCAAAGAATCGAAAATCAGCGTCATTTCTTTCCTACACAGGCTATTTTCTGAAGAGTTATCATTAGACGATTTCTCCATACAATACCAACCATTACCAAGCTAACAGACGAGGAGAATGTGCCGGGAGAAACATCAACCTAAGAATACAGTGTCTTGATGTAAAACTAACTTCCTATAACTTACATCGAAAGAAATGAATAACAACCACTGAGGAGAATTTTAGTCTTCCGCCTAGATGATTAACAATCAACATCTAGAATTTAAATTTCTCCAGGTATTCTGTTTTCTTATTCCACGTGAAATTCTGCGGGGTCTACTTCGCTTTTGTTGTAATTTTTTATTACTTCTCCGCAGGAAGTGATTACGACTGTGTCGGACCGTTATGAAGGCCGTCACTAAAAATAACTTCAAGAAATGACAAAACTGTAACTGTAGACAGGATGATTTAAAAGTCTATTATCTAAGTGTCAAGGGTGTGTTTTTGCCCTCTATTTTTTTTAAAGTCCATTATTTAAGTATAAAGGGTATAATTGCCCTCCCTTTTTTCTAATTTCGCGAAAATGTGCAAGTGTTATGTTATTAGTTTGCATTCGTTTAATTTAACTTTCTATTTTTCTTTAAAACAATACACCCACGGCATTCCTTTTACCAAAATGCCTGCGTCTATTTATGGCCTTTTTGAGCTGATTACCTTAAACAGTTTGACTGTGTTTTAATGTGTGATGCCATCTTCGTAGGAAAGAAAAAATAGAAAAACGGTCACATAGCTTAGTATTGACTTATTAAACCCCATCGTTTGGCTTGAGGACATCAAAGAAAGTATAGATATTTAGAACTGAGCCTGCCCTAGTTGGGTTGCACCGGCCGTGTTAGCGTGCCTCTCGAACAGCAAGCTGTCACCGATAAATCATCTTTGATATCGCGTGTTATTTCATAGCAAGGCGTATGTCGAAACACAAAGGAAGTATACATTCTACACGGCGATATTTTTGGACCGTGATTATCACTTTTGTCTCATTTTAATTAAACTGGCTTTTGGACCATGTGCGTGCGCCCAGTCTGCATCCATTATTAAACCTTGTTTCACCTGCGACAAGGTCAATAAATTCGCCAGTAAGTACCGGTTTCAGTCAGTTGTCGACTGCGTGGCCAGAGAGATTGCCTGCGTGGATATTTCTTGTTTCAGCGCGCCCAAAGAAAACTCTAAATTCCTGCCGAGAAACAAGTTTGTAAAGCGCTTTCGCGATATTTGTCTTTGTGGAAATTCTAACCTCTCTTTTTGCATCAAGGCTTCGTTACCTTTATTGATAAGATGCAAAACTAGAGAAAACATACATCGCGGTTCTTTCTAATCATCTTTCTCGTTCCAACCGGAGAAATCAGAAGAGAAACGAGAAACAAGTAGTAATAAAATTGTGCTTTCGTTTCGTAGATCTAGCTACAAGTTTTTCTTCATCACTGTTCCTTTCTTCTTTCAGATTGTCTGGACAAGTGTGTCATCGTGAACGTGGAAAGCCGAGTATTGTGAGAAACACATTTGTGAAGTAAGGTAGCAAGGCAGCGTTAAAAACACGATAACATTATAAGAACTCGTAGGAAGACAGCGATTGCTTATAAGTAAAGATGAGGTACAAAAGTCCAGTTTTAGCTCACCCTGTAGTGGCGTATACTCCAGGCACGTTTCGTTTCTGCTACTTGTATGTTCTTGCACGTTCATCGATGTAAGAAGTACAAGTGGTAGGGAGGGGGTGTCAACAATTCAAGACGCCATGCATTAGTTTTGAACTGCCTTAGGTCTACGTTAATTCATTGCTGTAGGATCCCTTAGACTTTTCGACCTTAGGCAAGAATTTAACGTGTATATTGTTCAGATTTTTACAGGAATTTTCCTGTACAAAGCGGTTTTAGATTAAATGTAGCGAAACCTCAGGATAAATGGTCTCAAACAATGGAGAGTAAAGGTAAACCAAAAAAGAAAATAAATAGAAAAGTACAGTTAGTTCATTTTTAGCAAGACGGTAACAGATAACAAAAAGCAGAGTATGGAACGCGGTGTATAGTGTACGAAATGATCTTTTTTGTTGTGGCAGTTATAGAATTTTTTCACTTGAGTGTCAAAGTTCAGACTGAACTCGCAGCTAGAGTAAGTGGGTGATTGAAAATCACTAAACGTAATGAGATTAGCCCCTCCTCCAACTAGATCACCAAGTACACTATAACGAGGAATTTAGCTACAAGTTGCTGATAGGTTACGTTAGTTGAAGAGCATGCAAGCTCCCCTGAAGAAAACAATATAAAGTTCAAGGTAGCTACAATTAGTTGTATAGAGGCAGATGGTGACAAATAATTGTCATTTTAAACATACTTGATACTTTCAATGCGGTGATACAAAGAGCTCGATTTGAATTATAACCATAAGTTGCACTAGCGAAGGCAACTTCTAAGCTAATGCTAAATAATTGTTTTTGGTTGGTCAGTTTTGCTCACAGCTGAACTGTATACAGATTATTAAGGAATGATCAAGGATTTAAGAGTGAAACGCTTGGATTTAGTGTCAAGTACCCACCACGTGTATTCGACGAGGTGCGAAATCGTTTTATGGTATTGAGTAGAGAGATGATAATCGTGAGAATTAGAAAAAAACCTCGTTGGAATTTAAAGAATCCTTTTTAGAAAGTTGAAGTAATCTGTGTCTATTAATAAATGCTGTAATATTTAATTGTGAAGACCACCAAATAAACCCATTTCTTGAGTCATATTTTGGTGTTATGCTTTGGATGTACTACTTTCATCGAAAGGCAAAAAGATGGAAGGTAAACTGAAGCACAAAAAATGCAATTCATTGCCATGTTTTACTCAATGTCTTTATTTTTTCAAATATTTTCTTAAAGAGCCTTGAAATAACTTTCGTTTATGTCTCCTGTTCGTGAATTTTCTTTATGAAAGGGAATTTAAGAGGAGACGCCTTGCAATGAACAAAGGGGCTAATACCTCAACAGCGGTCAAACTTGCTGCGTGCGCAGTTTCTGCCAAAACTGCCGCTTATAACTGATTACTATATTTTCAAATCCTCTATTTTCAAGCTTAAAGTGAAGACAATCAATGAAAAATTAAGCTGCGTATGTTGCATATTCAATAATTTTTATCCACCCTGGATTATCAGTTCTCAATCTCTATCACACTTATGGCGCTGAATTTTGTGTTTGATCTCTGTGAAGCTATGAGCATACTCGAACAATGCGTTCCCATCCCGTTTCTCCCTAATGCGACGTGAGATGTGACGTCACCACATCACCAAAACCCGATACCAGGCCCTACGGTGTACTTCACGGTCGTTTAACTCCTGATAGGTAACGACGAACGTGTTGAGACTGGACTGCTTCTACCATGGATAAGGCGAAAGGATACCAATGTGAAAGATGTTTGAAATGCGCCCTATGTAACGATCTGAAGGGACAGCGATTTACCAGAACACAACTCGTGTCAAACGCATTTTTACTTATACCTCGTGCACTCACGTTTTCAGTTTCAAACTGTGGATTATGAAACAGTCTAGTACCAGGAGTAGGGACACCTTTTCAGCTTCCAAGAGTGTCTACTTAATTAAGGGGGTTTTCCAACTGATTGTCTTATGTAAGCTGTCGAGATAGCTTCCTACGAAGACCTCTTACGGGGCTCGTCACATAACGTGAAAGAGAAAAAGATGGCGTGGCGAGCCTAATTTTGCTCAGTCGAGCCAGCAAACGAGTTTTGGAGGATTGCTTTCAATATTCACCAAGAATGATAATCATTCAGTGCATGTATCTAGTTCCTGTACGGCTTTCTCCCAGGCCTTTGCGGTCAATTGATTTCGGTGCGAACGGCCTGGACCACGTGACCGAAAAACGATTGACAGCGGCGAAATATTGAGGCCTAATAAGGAACTAGGCAACATTAACGTCAGCGAGTTTGTGAAGCTGAGGTTTCGAGCGTTAGCTCGTCGCAAATTAAACAACAGGCTCGTTTCCAGTTTATTCTGAGCTTTCTTCGTCGGCGTACGTAATGAGTATGAATTGGGTATGTTGGACACGATTTGGTAGGTACATTGGATCAAGGGAAGGCTGCCTCCGCCTTCCTTTGATATCAATTGATAAAAAAAAAGGAAAAAAATGATGAAAGAAAGAATGAATCAATGAATCAATGAATCAATCAATCAATCAATCAATCAATCAATCAATCAATCAATCAAACATTTGTGTCGCTGTACTGAAACGATTAAACATTTCTATCCAACTTCGAGCAATGTTCTTGGATAAAACTGTCTTAAGTCTCATCAGAAACGTTCATCCAAACAGATATTGGATAAAAATACTACAGTCGTACCTCTTCACAACGATCACCTTGAGACAGAGGAAAGTGGCCTTTGTAGAGAGGTGGTCGTTATGGGGAGGTAGGGGTGTAATATGACACCTGTTCTTTTTCGGAAAAATGCTCATTGTAGTTGTATACACTGTTCGCAAGTCGTTGATCAAGTGGCCGTTGTCGAGAGGTTATTTTGGCGGTTAGGGCACGTTTTGTAGTAGTTTTGGGGAATTGACCCGAAAAATTAATGCACAGTTGAAACTGCTAAAAATCAAACAAACAAACACACTCTTGCGAGGCCGAGGAGAGCCACGGGGAGCCACGGGGAAAAAGAAGCAAAGAGTAAATACTTTTTACTATCCAGGTCCTGTTTTTTGATGTTAAAAAAATATATATATTGCACGAGCTGCCCACCAAAAGACTTATGCACAACCTAAAGGTGAGAAAAAAATTTCATGACCCCCAAAATTGCTCAACGCCTTCCCCCTCAAAAAAATAAAAATAATGGTTCATCCCTAACTTCCTCGGTTAATGGGAGACATGCACCTTCTTTTTTGTGGGTTTGCGACTTGATTATACATGTAGGCGGGGAGATCGCGGGGCACATAAAATATAATGACAAAGTATGTTTTGGCTTGATAATTTACCAAGGCTAAGTAGATCGCAATTCAGAAATCAGGAGGGGGAAAAAGTGGGGGTAAAAAAAGAAAAAAACCGGTGTAAGTGTGTTCACTTACTCAGTGTCATTATCAGGTAACCACAAAACCAGCAAAACATATTCTTTTACTGAAAAATATCCCTGTAAAAATATATTTATTATATGTGTGAACTCTTCTGAAGTTCGCAAAGCAGATACGACAGTGTTCGTATTAATGTTGTATTCTTTTGAATACTGAATAGCTAAAACTATCTCAAGAAAACCCAACAATGAATCCCCGACTTTAGGTCAAGACTTTAAGATTTAAGTAATGTCCTTGACTGTATTGCAGTTCAACATCTACCCTTTAAAAGCTGTCCTTCACACTGTACTACACTGTGGAGTCACATTAAAAATAAAAGGCACAACTAAAATCCTTTCTTCTAGTGTCAGTCATTTAAATCAAAGAATGAGACTCTTCTTTTCGGAATAGGGATCAAAAACTACGCATGTCACCATTGCATGTAATACTCTCGCAAGATGGTGCCTGCTTTTCAATATCTTGCAGAGTGAAATTTACTTTTTCGTCCTTGGCACTTATGTGAGTGAAAAGCTCACTTTGCCAAACTTTCCTTATGTTGCACAGATCCTCATCTATTTACAATACACTGAAGTGTCTGTTTTCTCCTTTGACGCTTTCAGGTTCACCCAAAATTCCTTGTATGACTCTAATTCTCAGCTATTTACAATACTTTACTGTCTTTACACATAGCGCAATGTTTTAACAATATTTAAAATCTTTTGAAGCTGCCGTTATTGTGATAAATAGTGAAATTTTGTACACTTGCTACCGCTCTGACCCTTTCAGACCAAGACCAACATATTTCAAAAAAAATAAAAATCTGTTTCATAATTGCCACAATGTTCGATTTAAGTAAAGTCTGAAGCTCTGGAGTTCCACTATGTGTAGCTGATCATTCCTTCATTCTCATCACTTGTTTGCTTCACAATGTGTTAATGTTGCATTGAGAAGTTATATGTTGATTACTTGGCAAGCAAAGGATTAAGAGAAAACAAGCATCTACAGATGTATTAATTAAACTTTCTTCTCACAAAGTTGTTCCACACATAAAGATAAACTTTATATTCGGAAAAACTTCGATTTCAAATTCCTCTGCACTCCAGGGGGATGCTTATGTACAAGAAAACTTTCCAAAAAGATGTCTTTAACTTTCTGTGACTATAACATTCTGCTGGAAATAACTTATAAAATAATATATTAATTTTAATAAAATCCTGATTTGTCATTTGTCCTTTAAAAATTGCACTGGACAAGGGAACTATATGAAAGAGGAAAATGTATGAAAGGAGTGTAAAGGCCCATTACCTAATTTATGTGCATGCTTGTGTGTATTGATAAGGAGGTGAAATGTCACCTCCAGTTACTGGAGTCAGCTGGAGCCAGAAAATTACAATTTTTTCCAATATTTTGAAATTCTCTCAAAATCTGACATTTTAGAGATGAAACAAAACCTATACATGGCATAATAAGAATTAAAATTAAAATATTAAATCAATGAAAAAATCCCAATAAAGTTATATGCTTGGGAGCCTTTACATTTTTCAGAATTGGTCACAGGACCAAGGGCATGGCCTGACGACATCATTGCTGGTGTTACTGACCACGAAAAAGTTAAAACACATGAATCAATTCTGAACTAACCATAGTTAATTTAGGTAAATGGTCAGGAAACTTGGCAAAGTTCTTTGTTGTATGTTTTTGTTTGCTATTTTAGGGGTTGACCCTGCACAAAACGTGGCAAAATACAAAAGGTGCCGGGTTACCTGTGCCCATACAACTAACCAATACAAGCATTGCGATTATGTAATTCATGCATAGTCAATTAGCATAAAACAAAAGATGTGCAGGGTCAAGGGCCCTCCAACATAAATCTTAGCCTGTTTGTTTGCTTCTTTGATGTTTACCACCCTTCCTAACCATTTACCTCTATTAACTATGAACTACCTAAAATTGACAAGGATATATGAGAATAAATGTTCCTTGGCAACAACTCAAAAAGATCAGTAAATGGGCCCTTAGGATCCTTCAACAACATGTTGATCTTTCATTGATAACCAAGATATGCATTTTGAATAATTTAAAATATAATTATTGAGGATAATAATTATCATAAATAATTTTTCTGCATCAAGTTGCTTTTCTTTAAATAATCGACTTTCAATAGTAAAGTTCCAAGTCATCTGCACTTGATTACAACTACACAGTGGTTACCATGGAAACAATGAGTCAAGTGTCTTCCCACTCTTCATGAGAGAACAGTAAGTTAATGGTAAAATACATTTTGATCCTCATGGATGTATTTTTGGTGCACTGCTTGACAGTGTATTGTAGCAGTGTTGTACTTTGTTAACTATGCTTTGGGAGAGAAGTTCAAGCAACAGTAGCAAAATATTTGCTCTTGTTTATTTGGAAGAGGCACAAATTTGCTAATTCTTCAAGAAATCGACTATGACTAATTGAAAGCAATAATCTTGGGGTGCCAGGCCCTTTTAGATATCACACCAAATATACATAAATTATTTGCATTTACTAGCCCATCATTTTGGGTCTTGAAAAATACATAATGACAGTAGTCGTGTTCTTGATACTGTGATCATTGGATTGTCTTGACACCGTGATCATCGGATTTTACAACATGTTCTCTCTTCGACAGTGGGAAGATATTGGTACAAGAGCATGACAGATACTGAGAACTAATTTGAATTCTATGGTGCAGTATGCCACTGCCAATGTGGGGACAGACGAGGAAAAGTTGTACACAGTACTACTGGTAACCACGGGTACAAAGATCAGACTTGTCTCAATTGATCATCTTGCAGATGTTTATTGAGATTTGCTGAATTCTTGAGATTGTGGTTTCTGAGACAAGACTGACCAAACAATAGCAGATCTGCACATTGTCGTCATTTGACTATAACTATCAGAATTCCTTTCGTTTTTTCTTTATTATTTAAATTTGGAAGTCCCAATGGGGTTTAAATAACAATTGCCCTGATTAACATAAGAAACAGAAAAAGTGAAGGATTCTGGTAGTTGTAGTCAAATGACGCCGTCATGTAAATCGTCTATTAGAGTAAATTCCATTTGTAGCTACAATATTTATTTCAATCATGTAATTTCATCAGGATTTCACTGAATCCCAGAATGCATTTTGACTTACAAGCCTTTGNGGGTTTGCGACTTGATTATACATGTAGGCGGGGAGATCGCGGGGCACATAAAATATAATGACAAAGTATGTTTTGGCTTGATAATTTACCAAGGCTAAGTAGATCGCAATTCAGAAATCAGGAGGGGGAAAAAGTAGGGGTAAAAAAAGAAAAAAACCGGTGTAAGTGTGTTCACTTACTCAGTGTCATTATCAGGTAACCACAAAACCGGTAAAACATATTCTTTTACTGAAAAATATCCCTGTAAAAATATATTTATTGTATGTGTGAACTCTTCTGAAGTTTGCAAAGCAGATACAACAGTGTTCGTATTAATGTTGTATTCTTTTGAATACTGAATAGCTAAAACTATCTCAAGAAAACCCAACAATGAATCCCCGACTTTAGGTCAAGACTTAAGATTTAAGTAATGTCCTTGACTGTATTGCAGTTCAACATCTACCCTTTAAAAGCTGTCCTTCACACTGTGCTACATTGTGGAGTCACATTAAAAATAAAAGGCACAACTAAAATCCTTTCTTCTAGTGTCAGTCATTTAAATCAAAGAATGAGACTCTTCTTTTCGGAATAGGGATCAAAAACTACGCATGTCACCATTGCATGTAATACTCTCGCAAGATGGTGCCTGCTTTTCAATATCTTGCAGAGTGAAATTTACTTTTTCGTCCTTGGCACTTATGTGAGTGAAAAGCTCACTTTGCCAAACTTTCCTTATGTTGCACAGATCCTCATCTATTTACAATACACTGAAGTGTCTGTTTTCTCCTTTGACGCTTTCAGGTTCACCCAAAATTCCTTGTATGACTCTAATTCTCAGCTATTTACAATACTTTACTGTCTTTACACATAGCGCAATGTTTTAACAATATTTAAAATCTTTTGAAGCTGCCGTTATTGTGATAAATAGTGAAATTTTGTACACTTGCTACCGCTCTGACCCTTTCAGACCAAGACCAACATATTTCAAAAAAAATAAAAATCTGTTTCATAATTGCCACAATGTTCGATTTAAGTAAAGTCTGAAGCTCTGGAGTTCCACTATGTGTAGCTGATCATTCCTTCATTCTCATCACTTGTTTGCTTCACAATGTGTTAATGTTGCATTGAGAAGTTATATGTTGATTACTTGGCAAGCAAAGGATTAAGAGAAAACAAGCATCTACAGATGTATTAATTAAACTTTCTTCTCACAAAGTTGTTCCACACATAAAGATAAACTTTATATTCGGAAAAACTTCGATTTCAAATTCCTCTGCACTCCAGGGGGATGCTTATGTACAAGAAAACTTTCCAAAAAGATGTCTTTAACTTTCTGTGACTATAACATTCTGCTGGAAATAACTTATAAAATAATATATTAATTTTAATAAAATCCTGATTTGTCATTTGTCCTTTAAAAATTGCACTGGACAAGGGAACTATATGAAAGAGGAAAATGTATGAAAGGAGTGTAAAGGCCCATTACCTAATTTATGTGCATGCTTGTGTGTATTGATAAGGAGGTGAAATGTCACCTCCAGTTACTGGAGTCAGCTGGAGCCAGAAAATTACAATTTTTTCCAATATTTTGAAATTCTCTCAAAATCTGACATTTTAGAGATGAAACAAAACCTATACATGGCATAATAAGAATTAAAATTAAAATATTAAATCAATGAAAAAATCCCAATAAAGTTATATGCTTGGGAGCCTTTACATTTTTCAGAATTGGTCACAGGACCAAGGGCATGGCCTGACGACATCATTGCTGGTGTTACTGACCACGAAAAAGTTAAAACACATGAATCAATTCTGAACTAACCATAGTTAATTTAGGTAAATGGTCAGGAAACTTGGCAAAGTTCTTTGTTGTATGTTTTTGTTTGCTATTTTAGGGGTTGACCCTGCACAAAACGTGGCAAAATACAAAAGGTGCCGGGTTACCTGTGCCCATACAACTAACCAATACAAGCATTGCGATTATGTAATTCATGCATAGTCAATTAGCATAAAACAAAAGATGTGCAGGGTCAAGGGCCCTCCAACATAAATCTTAGCCTGTTTGTTTGCTTCTTTGATGTTTACCACCCTTCCTAACCATTTACCTCTATTAACTATGAACTACCTAAAATTGACAAGGATATATGAGAATAAATGTTCCTTGGCAACAACTCAAAAAGATCAGTAAATGGGCCCTTAGGATCCTTCAACAACATGTTGATCTTTCATTGATAACCAAGATATGCATTTTGAATAATTTAAAATATAATTATTGAGGATAATAATTATCATAAATAATTTTTCTGCATCAAGTTGCTTTTCTTTAAATAATCGACTTTCAATAGTAAAGTTCCAAGTCATCTGCACTTGATTACAACTACACAGTGGTTACCATGGAAACAATGAGTCAAGTGTCTTCCCACTCTTCATGAGAGAACAGTAAGTTAATGGTAAAATACATTTTGATCCTCATGGATGTATTTTTGGTGCACTGCTTGACAGTGTATTGTAGCAGTGTTGTACTTTGTTAACTATGCTTTGGGAGAGAAGTTCAAGCAACAGTAGCAAAATATTTGCTCTTGTTTATTTGGAAGAGGCACAAATTTGCTAATTCTTCTTCTAATTGAAAGCAATAATCTTGGGGTGCCAGGCCCTTTTAGATATCACACCAAATATACATAAATTATTTGCATTTACTAGCCCATCATTTTGGGTCTTGAAAAATACATAATGACAGTAGTCGTGTTCTTGATACTGTGATCATTGGATTGTCTTGACACCGTGATCATCGGATTTTACAACATGTTCTCTCTTCGACAGTGGGAAGATATTGGTACAAGAGCATGACAGATACTGAGAACTAATTTGAATTCTATGGTGCAGTATGCCACTGCCAATGTGGGGACAGACGAGGAAAAGTTGTACACAGTACTACTGGTAACCACGGGTACAAAGATCAGACTTGTCTCAATTGATCATCTTGCAGATGTTTATTGAGATTTGCTGAATTCTTGAGATTGTGGTTTCTGAGACAAGACTGACCAAACAATAGCAGATCTGCACATTGTCGTCATTTGACTATAACTATCAGAATTCCTTTCGTTTTTTCTTTATTATTTAAATTTGGAAGTCCCAATGGGGTTTAAATAACAATTGCCCTGATTAACATAAGAAACAGAAAAAGTGAAGGATTCTGGTAGTTGTAGTCAAATGACGCCGTCATGTAAATCGTCTATTAGAGTAAATTCCATTTGTAGCTACAATATTTATTTCAATCATGTAATTTCATCAGGATTTCACTGAATCCCAGAATGCATTTTGACTTACAAGCCTTTGATTGATGAGGTCCAAAGCACCAGAAAATACAAATGGCCACTTTGTAAAAGCTACCTTGTACCTAACAGACATTCTGGGAATAGTATTGAGTTCAGAAAACTTTAAGTTCTCATAACGCAAGAGGGGATTGTTCCTCTTTCCAGTGGGATTTTTGTTTGGGTGTTTTCTCACTTGTGTAGAGCCCTTTGGAACCTTGCTTTGTACTTTACGCTTTTTCTTCTCTGCGTCATGTGCACGCACCAAGGACAGCTTGGCAAGTTCTTTTTCAGCATAGTTATTAGCAATTTTACGTCCAGAACTTGTGTATCGTACTGTTGCAGAATTCGTCACAACAGTAAGTCCCCCACTGGCACATGGTTTTAACTTCTCTCTGACATCTTCGACTTTGACGACAAGATCTCCCTTTGGAGATATGGATTTTCTTTTAAAGCCAGTTTCATTGAAAGACATTTTCCTTTTACAGTGTTTATATTCTTTTCCATCGAGTGGTACAAGCTTTGGCTCCGGAGAGAGAAGCCTATTTTGTTCACCAGTGAAATGTTCTTTGTCAGAATGCAAGGAATATGAAAATGTACCTGGCTTTCCACTTTCTGTCCAAGTCTGAGTTCTTGTATTCAGATCTTCCAATGCACTGGTTTCCTCAGAAAATTCGTTTAAAGTAGTGGTTTCAATTTCTTCAGTATCTGGACTTTCTGGGGGTGAATAGCAATGAAGATCAGGCCACATATCTTCACAACCATACATGACATGGTCACTGAGTGAAGCAAAACCTGAAGCATTTCTATTTTCATCCATCACTTGTTCAGAAGCATTTGACGTAGATAGGTTTGATGTCACAGACACTTCTTCATAAGAAAAGTCTTTAGGTTTCTGATGTGAAGAAATATAGAAATAAATAGAAATAAAAATGACACTTGAGATAGCTCTGTGCCTGGATGTCTTAAGTAGGAGGCCAGGCATAGTGACACAAAACAGTGAACCTGGGACATGCATTCAGATCTTTTATGCATTTCCACATCCCAGTACTAAGTAGTAATTTACACTTACAAATTGATTATTATTTTTTTATAACACTGGCTGAGTATGAGAGGAAAAGAGATCTTCTATGGTTAGTCAAGCCTTCACCAGGGATATTGTGAACATACAGTATGTTCTGGAGTAAGACATTCTATTTTAGAGTGTGACTTGGTAATATCTTTAACTTCACAAGTCAAACAACTAGTTCTACACCTACATGTAACTGCATCATGCTACACAAACCAAACCGTAAGTAAAGCACTGCCAGGCCTGTTGAACTGTTGTCCGTCTCTTTAAGGGTATAAAATGCTTAAGGATAAATCCTAGCTCTGGGTACATATACTGTTACAGGAGAACTCTATATGGTTGAATCCCACTATTTCGAACCCTCAGGGGAAACGAAAAATAGCTCAAAATAGTTGTAGTTTGAAATAAGCGACAGTAAATGATTGAAGGGCAAATCCAAGGGANTGTTGTCCGTCTCTTTAAGGGTATAAAATGCTTAAGGATAAATCCTAGCTCTGGGTACATACACTGTTACAGGAGAACTCTATACGGTTGAATCCCACTATTTCGAACCCTCAGGGGAAACGAAAAATAGCTCAAAATAGTTGTGGTTTGAAATAATCGATAGTAAATGATTGAAGGGCAAATCCAAGGGAAATGAGGGGGAATTCGAAATAGCCAAGTTAGGATTGGTGGGGTCCAACGGTAGTCACAAAACAAAACTGTTCGATCTAACAAAAGAAAATACATCACACAAGAAGTTACATGCACTTACCAGATATTTTCTCATACAATAAGGAAAGTTATCTTTACTCTCTGACAGTGTGGAATCATCTGTAACATCTGACATTTCATCCAACTCAAGTTCAGTTTCAGGCATACAGTCCTCATATGGTCTGGTGGTATACCTTGGTCTTTTCCATGTTACAGGTGTCAGAGAAACAGAGGCGACAATTTCCCTGCCTTTTGAGCTCCTTGATGAATGACTAGAAGACAATGAAGCCACAGAGCTTCTTCGTTTAGTAGACATGTTGGTAGGTACATTACCAGGTTTCAAGTCCACCCAATCATTTACTGTCGATATACAAGAGTGGTTGGAAGGAGAACTCTGTGCAGAAGCATTGTACCCATTTGTGCTGTTGTTCAGAAGATGCTGGGTATTTGTATCAACACCGTCAACGGTGTTCCTGGGTACATTTAATGAGGTAGCATTAGTGTGCGATTGATCACTTGCTCTTAATTCAAACGAGAAGTCCCCTGGACTTACAGAAGACGCAACAACGTCAGTTGGGTCTTTTGCTGCATTTAATAGGGTCAAACTACTCTTCCTTTGGATAGTATAGTTGTGATACTGTTCCTGTGCATTTGGGGGAAGTTCTTTTGGCAGCAGCCGTGACAGACACACCCGAGCACATGGCATGTTCCTTGGATCAATCATGGTGCTACAGTACAGCCTGTAAAAGAAATAACACACTTGACATCACCATTTAAAACTACCACTGCTAGCCTTCCTTTCTTTTGTGCACCCTTTCTCCCTTGAATTCTGTGCTAGTCTCTCAAAGTACTTTTGTAAGAAAATACAGAGACTTGAAAGATAACTCAGTCATTTCACCACCCTGTTGGTTGATCTACAGTATACTATGTGTTCCCTGAAATTCCAAGAATTTAGATACCACAAAAGAAGTGTCGTGCACTACCCAGGGGTTTATTATAAGCCAGGACCTAGGTAGTGGAACCTAATGTGTTCTGAGTAAAGTACCCACCTGCACTTAAGGAGACAAATGCAGTGTGCAGTTTGATTGCACTGCATACGCATTAATTACATTATGAAAGTAGCTACCAGGACCCTCTCTCAATCAATGATGCTGTTACATAACATTTGCACACGACATTTTACGCGACCACAACGCACAAGTACACCTTTTCAATGAAATGACCTTTCACTGCATGTTTTACATGTCAAAAGGGTCACTGAATTGCAACAACCTTTGAATACAGTACAATATAACAAAGTCACATTCACAAAGGCTGTGATCAGTAAAAATACTTTTTCTCCTGAAGTCACATTGTGCTAGTGAGAAATAGCTGTATAAATTATTCACAGTTTTTGAAAGCAAAATTAAAACATTAATTTATATATTTTCATCACAGAATTTAAGTCTAATTTCTAAAAATGTTTTAGGGGAGCATCCCTCTGGAATCCCCTTAAGCCTCTAGCCTTAGGTACTCATGTGAATATGGGTGCCAGCTTACTCTGCCATGAGAACCAACCTACAGTATTTCAACACTTCATGCTTTTAGCCCAATTCATCAATGAGCCAACTTGTAGAATCCATAAGAGGGAAATCTGTTTGGCTTTGTCAATGGGAAAATTTAAGAAACAAATTCTGTCTTCACAGCAATAAACAGCAAAATGTACAGACAAAACCTTATAGGGTACTTGAAAGGTCTCTTTAACCCTTCAGCAAAGACTATGGACTTACAAAAATAAAATAAAAAATGATAAAATATAGAAGGCAAATTAACATAGCCAAGCCCTGTACTGATTTTTTAAAACAGTTTCTGCTACAGAGAGGCACATTTATGGAATAGGCCCTTTGCAGCTGGGGTCACGTGACCAAAGTTCTCCTAGGAAATTTTTTATATTATGGGCTATAACTTAAAGAATGACAGAAATGGAAAGGGTGCATCGAAAATACCAAAATGCCCAAGTTTGAGACCCCTGGAAGTAAAGAGTAAGTTTATACGACAGTTTGAATTTTTGGAAAATTTAGAGGATTTGTATGGAAAATGTTGCTGGAGAGCAAGGCCTTGCTCTCCAATAACTTTCTCCATACAAATCTTCTTATTCCTTTAAAAATTCAGACCATCATGAAATCTTATTCTTTAAAGATGGGGGTCTCGAACTTGGCCATTTTGATATTTTCGACATGCTTTTACCATTTCTGGTATTCGTCAAGTCATAGCCCATAATATTATGAAAAATAGGTCATGTGATGGCTTAGCTGCAAAGGGCCTATTGCCTTCCACTTGGTATCAGAGCCATAAAATAAATGCCACTACACTACACAAAACTACTACACAAAAGTAGTAATTTAATTTNATGGCCGCCAATTTTGGGCTTAACCAGCCAACTTCGAACGGCTGAAAAAGCAGTTTTCGCTTACCGCATGTGAAAAAAAAGTTTGCAGTGTTTCCAAGTAAGGTTGAAACTTTATTACTAAGCAAAAACCTCACATACAAAAATTTCGTTTCAGTGGCACTTTAAATGCAACTTTTAGGCAAGTCTCTAAAATAATTGTCGCAGGCCAAGCTCAGAGCCTCTACATTGCTTAGAAAATTTAGGGTAGCTCTGAGCCTGTAACCACAACTTTTTAAACAGATGTTACCACCCGTTGACCTGCAGTCATCACCAAATATCACCAACCAAAAAAATGCCCAACACTTCAATCCACGTTTTTAACCACATGGGCATCCAGGTGTCCTATGGACACCTCCATTCATAAAGACATTTTATTATTTCTAACTTGTTGCTTTATAAATAATTGTTCATTTGAGTAGACGTCCTGGCTGGAAGCAAGCTTCAGTCATTCAAATCAATACATTCCAAATTGCTTCTGAACAGCCTGTGATTCTTCTACTTCTTGGCTACTATGGGGGAATAGGTGTAATTTTTAATGCTGATTTTGTTTACTGTATTCTACTGACTTTATTTCTGGGACTCTGAAAACTGGTCAATGGGGGAATGCTTTTTGCAAGGTGCATTTTCTGTGAAATAGCTCATGTTTTGTCAATAACCCACAAAATGATAGTGCCATACAGAAATAGGAATTTTTACAATGTTTAGCACACTACCTGTTTTACCTGGGCTTCGAGATATGTTGAGAAGTTGCCCCCAATATGCTATCTTTAACTCGTCTGGAAAACAATTGAACATTTCATAATAAATATCATGTCGGAAACCTTTAGTTTGCCAATTGCAAATGCAAACTTAAACATAATATCCAGCTACAGAAATTTCGCACGAATCGTCTGAGTAAGAAACGTTCAATAGTTACGGTTTGGGACATTTGACAACTGAATTCTCAAGTTACCGCCAAAATAGGACAGAGCATGTAATAGTTTTATGTTACATACATGCACGTACAAATATTAGTTTATCTTTACAACTTATTAAGTTTAAATACCTTTCCATACAATAAGAAAAGGCCAGAGGGTTAAATGGATAATTTGACGTACGGTTGGTTGAATCTAGGGTATAATGAAGAACTCTTTTGATCGTGTAAGGTCTTCAAAAATAAGCAACACTCACGAAACACAGCAAAAAAATGATTTGGCCTCTCCTCAGCAGCGGAAATATCCAAGGCCACTTGTCAACATACCATCAATACTTTCTCGCTAAAGTAATTCATCGTGAAAACATTCCCACCACCAGAAATAACGGCATCTTTTACGTGCTACGCAATATAATTTTGCGAGACTGTACAATCAAACGGACATACTTTGGACTTCATTGCGCAATAAATCACGCTGAAACCTTACCTTTGAAAGGAAAAGAAGCAAATGTAGTTAATGAAGATTTAACAGTATTGCTGACGACGACAATGAACTCTAAAAGGAACCAAAATCTCGTATTTCATTTCATATTGCTGTCCTTCGTCGATAATCTCTTTTTTCAGGAAATGGCGAAGATGAGTCCGCGATTTCACTGTACAGAGGAAAACAAAAACGTGCGCGCTGCGCGTGGACTGCGCGTGTTCGCGTGTCGTTGCGTGTTGTGCGAACCTTCTCGTGCCAATCTCGCGCCTTAAATCGCGACGAAGGCCATAAATTCTAAAGTACCGATGAGGCTAAAACAAGCGTTTCGTTTGATAGTTGTTGGAGGCAATCAGGCGAATCGGAAGGCGCCCAAATTACGGAACGGAACTTTTGAGAAAGCGAAAAAAAAATGGTGAGGTCGTGGAATGTAAACAATCTACAAGGACTGGCTACCCAGTATACCATTATGGCTCCTGGTATACTCTAGTACGGGATAGACCCCTGAGCTGAGCGGGCAAACTAGATAATTGGCTTTGGCGCTCTTTATCCCATATAATAAATCCTTTATTGACCAAGTGTGTTCGGTATACGTAGCTGGATATTGGCTTGGTTCCATTTTTTATTATTATTATTATTTATTTATTATCATTGCTTTTCTTTCTTTTTTTTTGGCGTGTTGGGACCTCGACTCTATCTCAATCCATAAACGACCCAAAACTTGGCCAATTATCCAGCCATCTTGACCTCACGCTGGGTCAATAACCCATATGTACGTACACTGAGAACTTTAATTTTATCTTGTGACGATAGGTTTTCTCGGTAAACTACTGTGACGATAAGTTTTTCCTGCAACACTGTAAATTTCGGACTGAACGGACACTTGAACTGACAATTGGGGGGAATCTAACTCTGG